CAGGCTTACTTAAATTCTGCGAAGGACAAACTTGATCGTTTCAATCGTGAACCAGGACGTACATCCAACCGGGAAGTGCAGCGATTGGTCGCAAGTATATTCTACTGTATCAATCTAGTCGCATTACAATGCATAGCTCCAACTATTCTCCTTTTGGCCATGGCTTGTTTGTACAAGACTGTCGCCGGTCTCTCATGGTTTCCCACTGGTTTGTTCACGGCCGAACATCACTCTGGATCGACAGGGATTCACAATGCGCCCGCTTTGACGGAATCAGATTTTGGTCAGTGGATTTCCGATTCGTCTACCAATCCGGATGATGCCGCAGCATCCTGGTTCACTACTGTATCACAAGCTCGGATCGCATTCAGTCGATTCACAGAAATTCTTTCTGTTCGTGGTATGGCTGTGGCTCGAGGTGTATTCGGGTTTCTGGTCTGGTGGTGCCTCGCTGCTTTGCAATCGGTCAGTCTGCTCGGTTTGGCCTACCATCGATTTGCTTCCACCTAATTTGTTGAGCAGCGTTCTTTGTAGTTGTGCAATATAAATACGGTTCGACCAATCATGTAAACTGTTTTTGACGTAGCTGCATTGTTTTGTGGTACTGTTGGCTGTTCCGGTTTCGGAGAAAGCTGCTAGTATTCAATTATCCTACAATGTTCTAGCTTATTCTTAGCACATATCCTTTGAATTATTTTGACTAGCACGATCTATCTACATGTCCGTTACTCACAGCTCCCTACAAATCTTTCGGCCTGTCCCTTGTTCGACTGGCTGTGTCCAAATTCAGCACTCTTTGCTGGCATTTGACTTCGGTCAATTAATAAAACAATCAATCGGAAACATTTTATTGTTTTTTCCCCCTAAAAATCCCGATGGGAATAACTGTCTCTAAAATTGAATGCTGGACGCAGAACCAATTGAATTGATGTCCTCGGAAGATGAACGTAACCTTTATAAACGTGGCGCGTGATTCAGTTTTACGGTCCACTGCGGTCCAGCGAGTATAACTGCCACGAAAGTTGATCAGTATCTTTTGCAATTCACGTTGTCCCGTTGACTTTATCATAGTTGTCGGGCCCACGTACCGTTTAAGTTTCACGGCTATGTCTGCATGGTCAAAAAACAGCGAAAGATTTCTCAACCTCTTGTTGAATCTCTGGCGGAGACTTTGTTGGGACCTGTCCCTTAGTCACCCACGCCTCAATTCTGTTGTGTCCGATTCTCGTTTGATCACAATGGACACAACAAGATATCACACGATGACACACAAGGAGACAGACGTACCTCAACAGCCACACTAATCGTCTAGCCTCACGAGTACGATCACAGCATAGATTGGGCGCCACGAGCACTAGTAGCCTTCTCCCAGCTACGTAAGCAAAAACACAGTTAGTGCACAGCGAACGTGTACCTGACACAGGAAGCAAGTCCATTTACAAGTTTTACTCTGATGCTTATATGTGACTCAAAATAGCATCGATTAATGCAAGAAAAAGATTGTGCCAATCAAGTACACAGTTAGCAAAGTTCAATCGGTCATAGGTCACGGATCAGACGGACGGAGTGAATGTTTCCGTATGACGCAATATCATTGATTAATCTCCGCGAGATTAGTATTGATTAGAGATGCTCCTAATTGAAAATACTCGAAAATAGTCAGTTTTAGGTAAAAATAGTCTTTTTACCTAACAAATTCCATTGACATATCTCGGTCGTTTAGTGTACAAATACATGTTTGACCCCGTCCCTCTGAACAACTACATCGTGTCACATTCTACTGACACCAGACGTCCATACTTGATCGACAACGGTATCATTCTTATCCACAATCACATCCACGCAGTTTGCAGATTGTATTGCGCTTATTATTTTGACCCTATATCAGAAACAAAATAAGATATCTCTGTGAAACCAATTGCGTTTGTAAGAGCAGAAAGTGAGCTGTTGGAAGTACGCACAAATGACCAGGGTTCTCAACTAAAGCCTGATAAGAATCTGACTTCAATACGGGCAAGGAGAAATAAGTCGATCACTCCTCTATTACTTTTACCGACTGAGACAAAAATTCAAATCGAACATCATCTTGGAGGACCTTACCCGGCTCGACCTTTCGATCCTCCAGGCAGGAGCAGATCTTGGGCTCAACACGAGCAATCCTATATAACTCGCCGGTGCAAAAGATATCAGAAGTTGTTCTTGTGTGTGTATTTACAATGTCAAACTCGGAATATAAGTCACCACTCTCGTCCTTGGCAGTTGGATGTTCGCGCCGAGTGACAACGGTTCGATCGCGGTTTTTTGACTTCTATCTAAAGCTGACCCCTGGAAACTGCAAGTAACCGAGTGGTTTGTATATCTCGAGTGAAACGATCTGGTGGTTGTGTATCTGTCCAGTCATGCGTCCGCGGAACTCTTGCCCCACGCATCACCGTTAGTTCGTTCCATAACTGCTCATCTCAAGTGAGTAATGAGAAATACATAAATAGTCAGGTTGAGAAAGTTTCCAACCGAGTCATAACCCTGGAGGCTAGTTCTGAGATGAGCAGAGTCTGTGGCCCGCAAAGATGGGTTGTGCTATATCGTGTAAATATAAAATGAAAAACGGTCCGATCAACTACCCAGTGGCCGAATGGGTAGCATGCTTGCGGACAACTTCCTCCCCTCCCACCCCCACCAGCTCGCAGCAGTTCAACGACGGACCGAGTGGAACACAGTGAGAACAGGGGACGAAGATAGTCGGTGGAAAAGAACGCATACATAAACAAACGGGTACAGGCAGAAT